ATGAATAAAAAGTGTGTGTTTCATTCTTGCCCCCCTTCCTGGTGCCAAGGCAGGACCAGTTGCATCCTGGCAGATGTTGGACCCCAGAGATGCATCTCCACAGGCTGAGCTGGGAGTAACCCACAAGTTTCTGGAGGGATCCCCCTCCTGCTGGCTTTTCCCACATAAAAGCCATTCAAAGGATAAGGGAGAGAAAGGAGGAGGAAAAATAAATAAGGTACTAAGTAATTAACTGAAGGTTTCGAGGTATGTTTTGGGGAGGTGACAAATTCCTCCCTGGTCTTGCTCAGCCCCAGAAGGAGCAGCAGGAAGGACAGGAAGGGCTGTGAGGTGGCTGTGCTGGGGCCAGAGGAAATCACACAGAATTGTCATGGTTGGAGAAGATCTCTAAGATCACCGTGTCCAACTATCAAAGGACATCCCTGGCTGCCAGAGTCAGGGCCAGGCTTTGGATCTGCTCCCTCTCCAAAGCTGAACACCTGCTCCTGCAGGTCCTGCCTTGCCTGGGTGGCACTGGCTGGACTGGAGGGTTGTTTGTGCTCCTGCCACTAGTCCAACAGATGCATCTTTGCAAGTCAAAACTTCATCAGCCATTTTCCTGTCATTTTGCTGGTTATTGCTCCTTTTGCTTATCATGTCCTACTTCATCTCTCCCAGCCATCCTTCCTTTAAGAAGGAAAGAAGTGGAACTCATGAAGACTGCTGCCAACCTGTAGAAATTCAGTGATCAGTTCCAAGGCAGTAACAGCCCTGAATGATGCTTTACCTGCCAGTCCCAAGGGTGCTGCCTGCATTAATCACACTGAGCTAGGCTGCTACAGCTGCAGAGGCCACTGTGCTCCTCAGCCTGCTAAGCAAGACAGTGGGCTTGGAGGGATGGAGGCATTCCTAGAGGCATTGCTGGGCACTCAGTTAGGTCTGGCTGGGGAAGGAGGTATTTCTTGGGGTGAGAGGAGAGGCCATGGCAGCAGGTGGGTGGGAAGGTGGCTGACCTGTGTCACAGCAGAGGCTGAGCTGGTTGGTCATGCTGGATGCAAGAAGATGGTGTGCTTGGGACACCAGACCTCTTAAGCCCTGCAACCAGCACCTGAACAAGGGGGGAACTCTTCCTAAATCCTTAGACTTTGTCTGCTTGCTTTTTTTTACATTATTATCTGGAACACCTCTCCTATGGAGACAGCCTGGGAGAGTTGGGGTGTTCAGCCTGGAGAAGAGAAGGCTTCAGGGAGACCTTAGAGCACCTTCCAGTGCCTGAAGGGGCTCCAGGAAAGCTGAGGAGGGGCTTGGGACAAGGGCAGGGAGGGAGAGGACAAGGGGGAATGGATGAAAACTGGAGGAGGGGAGATTGAGGTGAGGCATGAGGAGGAAATTCTGGAGTGTGAGGGTGGTGAGAGCCTGGCCCAGGTTGCCCAGGGAAGCTGTGGCTGCCCCATCCCTGGCAGTGTTGAAGGGCAGGTTGGATGGGGCTTGGAGCAGCCTGGGCTGGTGGGAGGTGTCCCTGCCCATGCAGAGGGGTGGGGCTAGATGATCTTGAAGGTCTCTTCCAACCCAAACCATTCTGTGATTCTAGGATATGATTCTATGCACATTCTGAAGCAGCCCAAGGGCCTTTTGATCCAGCTGTGAGTGCTCAGAAGCAGAAAAGAGGCACATGACTTGCTTTTAAGGGAATGCACCCACTTGTTGGGAACAAATGCACAGCTGGACTGGCTGCAGTCTGAAGCAAGGGCTGCAAGTGGAATCGCAAGTGAAGTAATTTGAACAAGCAATGTCTAAAGCAGCAGCTAATGGAGAAGCAGCTGAAATGCATGTTCTGGCTCTTTAGTGCTTGCTCTGAGGAAATGGCCTTGACACCCTCGGCACAGCAGAGCTGCTTAACCACTCTCACTGACAAGACTTGAAAGAGAAAAATTAGGTATAACTACATTGCTTCAGTAATGTTTGCCTCCAAATTGCTTTTCATTTAAAAAAATAACAATGAAGTGAGGAATTCTTGTTACAAGCAGTACTTACATGTGTCCCTGCACATGCAGGGAGGGGTGGAACTTGATCTTTAAGGTCCCTTCCAACTCTAACCATTCTGTGATTCTATGAAAACTATTTCAGCATATTAAATGTAAGAACATCATTGCTGCTGTGGAGTCTGTAAATATGGGGTTGTAAACATTTGATCTGTAAATATTGGGTTAGTATTTTCAGCCCTCTCAGCTGTCATGTCCAGGAGAGGGGAAGTGCAGAGAAGGGGTGAGACACAGGGCTGAATGGGAAGGATTCTTGCTGACAGGAACCTTGAGAACAAAATGTCAGGTTACAGATTCTCCAGGAAAACACAATAAAAAGCAAAAAAATCTTTTTGGAACAAGAATGTTCCATTTCCAAAATGTCAACATGATGTTTTGACATTACCCAAAGCTGCAGTTTCAGTTCAATACAATTTTACGTCAGAAAGTGACAAGCTTATATCAAGAGTTTTCACTTTGACAAAGTGGGATTTTCCAGCCATCTGATAAATTCTAACCAGCTCTGACTCCTGATATACTACAGCCAGGTGGGTTTCTAAGTGGGAGAATTAAAATCACCATTTGAAACAAAAGAGAGGCTCAGTAAATTCAAAATGAAGGGGAAAAGAGGAAAAAAAACTGTATGAGGACTCTCTGAGGGTGACAGTACTAACACAGCAACATTTTTACATCTTTTGGGGATCTTTGTAAGGAAAACGTTGATTTTTAAAATCAATGTAAGACTGAAAAGCCAACTATACAGGTTTGATAGTGGTGTGGAGTCTCAACCAGGCAGTTGGATGAACAGGTTTGCCTTCTCTACACCATGGACACAAAGTGGTGCAGGTGGGTGTCACCTCCCAGGCACCAGCACCTTTAGGGTTCAGTGTGTGACATCACTTGGGAGGGTACAATTTGTTGTTTAACACACTTGCTCAGCCATCCCTGTTAAAGGTGTTCCAGCCTGCAGGATTTGCTGAGCCCTGTAAAGATCCAATCCTGCCAACAGAGGCAGGCAACTTGTTTCATTTGGGGAGTAAGTCCCCAAGAGTTCAGTGAAAGCCTTATGGGGTATGGTTTCTCACACTGTTAAGATTTTCAGGGTTAGGTCTTGAACAGGTATCTTGCTGTAGGGGTTGCAGTCCAGCAATGTGCATCAAGTTGAACTTTCTTCCATGAGGTATTTTTGGCAAGACTCTGTTCTGCATAAACAGGGTCAGGAGGTGTGAGGACTTGCATATCACCAGGACCCCCTTTCCCAGTTCAGCTCTAAAATAACCTGCAGGACCTACGAGCACTTGCTACATCTCCTTGTCATGCACTAAGGGTTTAAACTCTACAGATGTGTCCCTTCATCACCCTCCTTTGTGAGGGTTGAAAACAAGGCCCTACCCATGCCACAAATCACCTCCTCACCCTGAGACCTGTCCTGCCTCTACCTGGCTACATGGAGCATCAACAAGCACCTTTTGGGTTTGTGTAAGAGGCAGAAGAGCATTATTTTTAATCCACTAGAGGTGGAAAGCCCAGCACATCTGCATGTGCCCTGAAAGCTGCAGCACAACCAGAGACCGACCCTACGGTGTCCACCCTGGACCTGACCATGGCTGGGAAGAGCAGAGATGTGTCCTGCATTGCCAGCTCCTGTGGGAAAGGCTTCCCACCTGCCTGCCTCACTTTAAAAAAATGCAAACAGAAACAAACCCAGACATTCTGGGCTTTTTTAGGGTGTCACAAGCTACACCAGCCAGAACCAGCTGGGGGAAGGGAGCCTGACAGCTGAGCAGGGAGCCCCATCCCCTTTGGTGTGAGGAGGAACATCCTGCCAGAAACACTCTCTGCATTCGGGCTTTTCTTGGATTTATCATCTGTACACGATGGGGGCTTATCCTGCTGGGAGCCTGAGATTCCTAGGCGGTATTTCTAGATGTGCTCGAGAGGGGAGTCGTGATGGTCAAAGCTCATCAGGGAAGAAGCACCGTGAGTCGGAGCTGCAGCCTCAACTCTATTAAGGCTGCTCCCTCTAGTGGGAAAAACTGGTTTAGCTGCAGAAAAAAAACACCTTTCCCCTATCTTTCTTTTCTTTCTTTCTTCTTTCTTTCTTTTCTTTCTTTCTTTCTTTCTTTCTTTCTTTCTTTCTTTCTTTCTTTCTTTCTTTCCTTCTTTCCTTCTTTCCTTCTTTCCTTCTTTCCTTCTTTCCTTCTTTCTTTCCTTCTTTCTTTCCTTCTTTCTTTCCTTCTTTCTTTCCTTCTTTCCTTCTTTCTTTCCTTCTTTCTTTCCTTCTTTCCTTCTTTCTTTCCTTCTTTCCTTCTTTCTTTCCTTCTTTCCTTCTTTCTTTCCTTCTTTCTTTCTTCTTTCCTTCTTTCTCTTCTTTTCTTTCTCTTCTTTCTCTTCTTTCTTTTCTTCCTGCCTGCCTTGCCTGCCTTTCCTTCCTGCCTTTCCTGCCTTGCCTTGCCTTCCTGTGAAGAATTCAAGTGTTCCAGATAGTGCAAGACACAGGGCTGTTCCCATCAGACAGGAGGTGACCTAAAGCTGTGCTCTTCCAGCCCTGGAGCATCAGTGGTGGAGCTGGAGCCCATCTGCTCCAGCTCAGCAGTGGTTCCTCCTCTGGGGCAGACCCATGGTGAGGGAGGGACTCTTGGTTAGTCTTCCAACAGTCCTCAGCATATGCTGTAGCTGTCTTTTGTTTTTGATTTCCCACTTCTAATTACAAAAATAGGACTTACTATAATAATAATAATAATAACAACAATAATAATATTAATGATACAAAATAATCATTGTAATCATATACTTTTTGGCAAATTATTAACACAAAGCAGCCCCAAGGACCCCATTGGACTAAAAAAAGGTGACAATGCACAAATGTTAAAAAAGCCAAAGTCTTTGTTAGAAAAAGAAGGAAAACCAATCTGCAAATGGATGCATTTCTGTAAGGCAACGTTACCTTTAGCTACCCATCTAGATGTAGGTCAGGTTCTGTTGTTGTCCAATCCATTGTTAAAACTTGGCTTGCTTGAGCTTATCAATGTGGTAACAGAGTTTCAGTGCAGGTCCCAGTTTCAGCCCCAGGTATTTCATGATCATGTCACTTTTCAGCAGCAACAAAGCATTGCCATCGATCTCCTGGTGTCAAAAGAGAGAACAAGCATCAAAACGTGGTCACCCCCTTCCAGTGCTGTGTCCTAACACATTAAATAAGAAAAGGTGAATCAGAAACAACATGACTTTTAGAGCAGCTAGCTGGAATTTTAAAAACTGAAACCTGAGGTATCATGGAAGGTAACTTTAAAGAAGGGGTTAATACTTTTTATTCTTCAAGGAACTCTAAGGCTTGTCTAGATTTAAAAAATCAGGGTTGCTCTAAGCCCAGTTCTGAGAGAAGCCAGTCAGGCCTGAGAGAAAGGAGTGAGTGATGGGGAGAGGGAGACAGGGATGTGGCCTCAGGAACTGCTAGTAGCACAGCTCTGAATCTCAGTGCCAGCTTTGTCCCTGGCTGTCAGCGTGTTTCACATATTCCCAGTGCACTTCTATCCAGTGCTATCATCTATCTATCTATCTATCTATCTATCTATCTATCTATCTATCTATCTATCTCTATCTCTCTGTGTCTCTGTCTCTCTCTGGTTCTTGTTCTTCAAGATAGTAGTAACTTGCTGATCTCATTGTATGTATTAATACAATTTCCTAAAATTTCATTTTGCCATCATGTAAGTGGAGGAAATTACCACCAAATTCAGTGTTCTTATCCCAGAGCTGTTGGCTTGGAAGCCTTGTGAAAGCACCAAGTGAGCACAGGGCAGCTGGGTGCACAGAGAAGCAGGCTCTGCTTTACTAAGGACTGTAAAACACAGAAGGTTTCAGCTGCCCTGTCCTTCCTCACATCCTGAGCTTGCCTGGTGTTTCCTAACTCTACTAGTGGATCCACTAAAAAACATCTACCCTCCTCCACAGTCTCCACTTACATCCTGGGACCATCAGAGCTAAACCATAACAAGTTACAACAACGTAACACATACTCATGCTGTACATATTGTCTTCTGGTTCTGATGGTCAGGTCTTTCCTCTGTGATCCATTACCTACTAGTTAAGCACTACTATGGATCCTAATTTACCCTGATCATTATTATTCCATTCAGTAGGTGCCTTAGCTGATGAGCAGTTAAGATCAATTTCTGATTGACTCAATCAATGAATGCTCTTCATTTTGCAAACTCCAATCTATCCATGGTAGAAACTAGTTTCACCTTCCCTTGCTCCTTCCTAATACCTTAAGGATAATAGGGTTATCCTATTATCCTTAGTTAAGTTGAGTTAAGGGAAAGTATAAGAAGTACAACTCATAATTAATATTTTTGTAAGAAAGAACAGCTCCTGGAACTGTGGTGCCATAGGGTAAAAACACTGTCAAGGGTTTGGTGTGAAGGCAGCTGTTTCTAAATGCTGAGTTCAGCATTTTATTATTTCCTTTATTAATACAGTGTAGGGGTCAAAATTAAACTCCATGACAAGAGTATGCCAGAGGGAGTATTCATATCCAATTAAATATCCCATATTAGCCATGTCCCCGTGCAGATTGTTGGCTGGACTTCTCTGCAGTGTTACTGTGTCAGCTCTTTTAAAAAATCATTTTTAAAAGAAGAATTCTGGAGCATGGTCCCCACATCTCCAATAGCCCCACCAGAAGATCTTGAACCAAATCAGGAGCTGGTAACATTCAGAGCCATCAGTGCAATTGGTTTGTTTCACAGGAGTTGAAATCTGACCCACTGCAGCTGAGAATGTTGGTGGAGATCATTGCTATGTGGGGTGGGCACAGCAAAGGGCTGAGCTGTGAGGGCACAATACAGTGGGTATGAACACACAGCTTCCACTTGCAAGATTGAGTATGACTGTGTGAGGACACTGTTCAAAAAGCAGAGTAGCCCCTGAACAAGCTCTGTGCCTGCAACCAACAACAGCACTCGGTGGTGGATGTTCCCCAGCATGAGGTTTCTCTTGAGAGAAACAAGTCTCCACCTTCACGAGTGTTTCAGCACTTAATTCTGAGTTAAATCAAAGACTTGAAGGTCACTCTCCTGCCTGGGATATATCCATAGCCTCTCTCTTGTGTTCTGCAATCTTGTGAACAAACACCAACCCTGGTAAGGTCCCCACATGTGACAGGAGTGCAGGGAGTGGCAGCTCAGTGGTCAGTGCCCAAACACTGAAGATAAAGGTCTACAGAAAGATGCATGCTCACAAGCCTGATGTCAAGCACTGGCAGAAACAGGTTGCTATTAGAATTAATTGGATTAATTGTCTTTAACTCAAAGCTTTTTGTCCCCTTCACACATGCATTCACCAATCACTGCTCATAATTAAACTGTCAGACCATAACACTGCTTCCACCCCTTCCAGCTGCAGTTTTCTACCTGCTAATTCCCTGTGTAACTTTCCCCTCCTCCATTTCCTTTCCTACAGTCTTTCTACCAAGTGTTTCTTGCTGACAGAGCACAGCAGAAGGGGGGTAGGAGGTAGTTTCATGGTCTTTGGTGGACACTCTCAGGAGCCACCTGTACCAGAGCTCCTTGGGTGTCTTGGGAAGAAGTGAAGTTGATTTTCCTGGTGGGAAGAGGAGAACTAGGTCATCCTGAAATGCCTATTGCAAGAGTGGAGAGTGCACCTCTGAACTGCACCCTGGGAGAAGTGGCTTTGGGGCCTGTGGTTACAGAATCATAGACTCATAGAATGTCTGGGGTTGGAAGGGACCTTTAAAGGTCACCTAGACCAGCCCCTCCTGCAGTGCAGTCCTTTTAACTAGGTCAGGTTGCTCAGAGCCTCCTCAAGCCTGACCTTGAATGTTTCCAGGGATGGGACCACCTCCTTGGGCAACCTGGGCCAGGCTCTCACCACCCTCACACTCCACAATTCCCTCCTCATGTCTCACCTCAATCTCCCCTCCTCCAGTTTTCATCCATTCCCCCTTGTCCTCTCCCTCCCTGCCCTTGTCCCAAGCCCCTCCCCAGCTTTCCTGGAGCCCCTTCAGGCCCTGGAAGGTGCTCTAAGGTCTCCCTGGAGCCTTCTCTTCTCCAGGCTGAACACCCCAACTCTCCCAGCCTGTCTCCAGAGCAGAGCTGCTCCAGCCCAAGGATCATCTTGGTGGCCTCCTCTGGACTCTCTCCAACAGCTCCATGTCCTTCCTATGCTGGGGACTCCAGAACTGGCCACAGTGCTCCAGGTGGGGTCTTACAAGAGTGGACTAGAGGGGCAGACCCAAATGGCTTAATACAGCAGTGGAAAGGCATACTGTCCATGTGCAGGATACCTCTCCCTCAGCCTTTTCTTCCTGGTGGTTCCACCACTCTCTCCCTCCCCGTGTCACTGCTCAGATGAGCTGGTTGCCAATGCACCCACTGCAGGTGACAGCTGGGCCTTGTCAATGACAGTAAGTGCTTCTAAGTAAATTATGCTCCTGCTTCATGGAAAGATTGAACATCCAGGAAGATATGGCTAAGGTTAATGGACTAATCACTTGTCTCTCACCCCTGGGGTCTCCACACTAATCCAGATGAGATTTGAAGGCTGAAAAATTGCAGGGACATATATAACTGGAAGGGATAATTGAATTGAGTTGTGTGGCAACCTCACCCATCTTCCCACACCTATGGCACATTTTACAAGGAAACCAATGACAAGCAGAGCCCACAGGTGCAGGGTGTTTCACAAAGGATGACAGGGACAGTCTTTAGTGGCAATTTAGCTCAGTCTCTGTGGTCACAGAGCAGCTGGGGTATCATGGCATGGCACTGCCCTGCTGCAGGGTGACAGCACCTGCTGCCATCCTCTGCTTACAACTGGAAACGGGGCAAAAATGGTGCTTTTGCAATGTACCTATTTACAAGATGAACTTAAAATGTTTCCTTTCCTTTGGGATGTACCTGTACATCTCTCAGCTCTCTCTCCCTGATGCACAAACCCTGTTGGTAGTCTCAAAAACTCACTCTAAAGTAAGTTCCTTTAAACCTGAAGGCAGGTTCATTTTCATGTGTTCATTTTCATTTCTGGATATTTTCATTTCATATCTGGAAATCCTGCATCCAGTGTGTAGCTGGAAGCCATCAGTTGCCTCCCTCAGCTCTTGTCTGCTACCCCACATTCCCACCCATCCCTGCTGGCCCACGGGCAAGGAATAGGACTTGGTCATCAAGGCCTCTCCTTTGCTTTGAAACCTAAGGTGCTGATCAGCAGCCAGGGCTGTGGGGCTCTTCTTGTTCAGATCAAGGTCCAGGCACTTACATCCAAAGCTATGACCTCCAAGGGAGCACAGGCAAGGCACTTTCAGGGCAAAACCCATTTTCATATCCAGACTGGATTGATCAAGGGGGGATGGAGGAGGAGGAGAAGACTGAAGACACTATTGGGTGCATTGATGCCAACTCCCTATACAGCAGAAGAACAAGTAACTCAAGATCAGATATTTACAGTCTTTCCCTTAACTAATTAAGGGACAAATAATTTCCACCACTGGAGATTGCCCAGCAAAAGCAACTACCATGTTCTCCAGTGAGTCAGCAGGTCTGTTGAATTTGGTTATGGAGTGACATAATAATACTGAGGGGAAAAGGATTAAAAGCTGGGCTGTTTGGGGTTTCTCCTGCTAAGTATCTTGAGACACATAAAAATGTTCTTCAAAGAAGAATCAGAGATGGACTGGGAAAAAAATTGTCATTGAGATGAGGCTGACAATGAAATATGAGCATCAGATCCTCTGTGCTTTCTCTTGGGCTTGGCACAGAAACTATTTATTCTGGCATAGTTGGGAACAAATAGGGAGCAGTTCTTAATGACATTGTTGGGGTGTCCTATGGGTAGGATAGGTCAGCATAGGATGGGATAGGAAGGGAAAGAGAGGAGAGGAGAGGAGAAGGAAAGGGAAAGGGAAAGGGAAAGGGAAAGGGAAAGGGAAAGGGAAAGGGAAAGGGAAAGGGAAAGGGAAAGGGAAAGGGAAAGGGAAAGGGAAAGGGAAAGGGAAAGGGAAAGGGAAAGGGAAAGGGAAAGGGAAAGGGAAAGGGAAAGGGAAAGGGAAAGGGAAAGGGAAAGGGAAAGGGAAAGGGAAAGGGAAAGGGAAAGGGAAAGGGAAAGGGAAAGGGAAAGGGAAAGGGAAAGGGAAAGGGAAAGGGAAAGGGAAAGGGAAAGGGAAAGGGAAAGGGAAAGGGAAAGGGAAAGGGAAAGGGAAAGGGAAAGGGAAAGGGAAAGGGAAAGGAAAGAAGTGAACCTATTTCAGTTGGCAGCAACCTACAATGATCATCTAGCCCAACTGCCTACCACTTCAGGACTGATCAAAAGTTCAAGCATGTTCTTAAGGGCATTGTCCAAATGCCTCCTAGATACTGGCAGACCTGGGCATTGACCACCTCTCCAGGAAGCCCCTTCCAGCATTTTCCACCTTCTTGTGTGGTAAGTGAACATCTCTTCAGTCCAAGCCCCTCAGCAGTGCTGAACACCTTGCAGGGCCCTGCAATCCACTTGGCTGAGCACAAACCCTGCCTAGAGCAGCCAACAGCATCTGAGGAGGGGTGTGTGTGATGAGTGCTGACCACCTCTTGGCTTTAATTACCCAGAGGTGCTAAGGGCATCCTTCTACGTACGTGTTTTCTGAAGAGCTCCACGTGGGGCCCTAAAGTATGAGGGTCTGCATCTTTCACAAACCACACCACGTCCTCCACTGTCCAGGTCAAAGGATTCTTGCTCGATGGCTGAGCTGCTGCTTCTTGTTCTGATGAAGGACTTGAGGCTGTCAACACAAAAAAAGCCCACAACAGTGCATGGCAGTGACACAGGGTGGTTGCCTCGGTCGGTGAGTGTGCAGGGGTACAGCATTGGACATCAGACCTGTGTGTGTAAGTATCAGCCTGAGATGGTGGGGTGGGGAGGCAAGGGGTCTTGAAGCAGTTTCTGATGCCCCTGCCTATCAGGAGACACGATCCCAGCTGGCAAATTGCATTAAAACACATGAAACCCTCAGGTCCCTTCTAGGGAAGGAGAAATGTGCCAACTGCCAGGCTCTTCAACCGAGCTGCCCCTGCTGTCTGATCTGCAAGCAGCAGGCATCTTGGCTCCAGAAGGCACCACCCTCCCACCTGGAGAGAAAGTGCTTCAGCTCTAAACAAAGGACTTTGCCGTTGAATGCAAAGGTTAGAGGATAAAACCAGGATCTAGCAAATAGGGTTGTGTCTTTTTTTTTTTTTTCTTTGCATTCAAGTATTCAGACTTATTGTGGAGCTTAAAGGAAAGTTTCCAGTCTGTATCCTCCTAGTCTTAGGCTCTCAGGAAGCTGGTGGTCCCCAAGGAATGCCTATTTGGAAAGATACTAAAACACACAAAGATGAACATTGTACATGTGACTTTTTAATGGTACAAGCCCTGGATGATTTAAGGTCACTTTGGCTTGCTATAGCTTTAAATCAAGTGAATAAAGGCACATTGGAATGAAAGTGCATTTATGTTTTTATACTTTGTCTCCACAGAATTATAAATCTCAGCCTCCACATGAATATAATTTGCACCCCCACTTATGCTGCTTCTCTATTACAAGGACTATATAATGCCAGGCTACAGGAAATCTGTTTAAATATGTTTATATCCACACCAAGCAAACTTTGCATTAGCAGGTGGCAGCACCCAGATGGACCAAGTGTCACTTGCCCAGCCCTGCTTCTGTCTTGCCATTAAGGCCCAGATTTTAATGAGAGAGGTAAAAATGGTAAGGAAGTAGGCACTACAGAAGACAGAAAAGGAAATGGGAGAGTACAAGTAGAGGGAGACTAAAGATACATCAACTGGAGCCTGGAGAGGCCACAAGTAGCCAAGAGGGCAATCAGAGCTGCTGAGGAGAGAAGGGCTGAGCTCTCCAGAGGAATAATCATAGAATCATGGAATCAGAGAATCATAGAATGGCTTGGATTGGAAGGGATCTTAAAGATCATCCAATTCCAACCCACATGCAACCAGCCCAGGTTGCTCCAAGCCCCATCCAACCTGCCCTTCAACACTGCCAGGGATGGGGCAGCCACAGCTTCCCTGGGCAACCTGGGCCAGGCTCTCACCACCCTCACACTCCACAATTTCCTCCTCATGTCTCACCTCAATCTCCCCTCCTCCAGTTTTCATCCATTCCCCCTTGTCCTCTCACTACAAGCCCCTGTAAAAAGTCCTCCCCTCCCTCTCTATAATGAGCTTACAGAGGCAGATGAATGGTGTGAGAATCCTCCTGTGTGACTCAGAAGGTGAGGAAATGCAGTGGGCTGGGTCTGTGGCTTCTGTAGATTGTCACTCCATTGACTTCAGCAGAGCTGTGCTGATTTATATTAGCTAAGGCTCTGCCCATATATGCCCAATAATGGCTTTATGGGCACGTTGGCCCTTCATTCCCTGCTGCCCTGCTCATCCTCTGGTAAAATGTCCTGTCTGTTTTGCAGTTCTGAAGGATGAACTCCAGGAAGCAGCAGCACTATGAATGTGCAAATCTGGTCGATGGGCTTCATAATGGGCTGGGATGTAAATATCATGATAATTACACTCTCATTTGCTAAGTCACTGCTCTGGATATAAAGGACAAGGAATTGCCGCGGGTCCTCTTAATTAGGCAGTGAGGGTTGGTGTTCCTGTGGACTCGGGTGACCCTGGGCTCTGCTCACTGAATTAATGGAATCCACAACGGTGCAGACACCATCTGGAGCCCTTGGCACAAAATGCTGAAGACAAAGAGTGCAAAATGAGCAGGGTAATCTTGGCCAACCCCTGGATCATCAGTAACATCGAGTCACTTTGTCAGGGATGAGCAGGAGAGCCGAGTCTGGGCTTGGAGGCAGAGAGGTGATGATTTCTGCCCTGCCTCATCTGCTCTGCTCTGGGTGCCATGGGTGGAGATACTGGGCTTGGCACTTCCAACCAGAGGGCAGGGAGAAAACCAGGCTTTCACTAACCAGCTGGGAAAATAAAGGGAGTGGAGAAGGGTTTGGCAGCTCCCAAAGGATCTCAGAAGTCTCTATGCTACTGCCATGGGCAGGCCAGGGGAGATGTGCCCCTGCTGAGGACCACAGGTTTTCCTTTACATTTGTATGAATATAAGGAAAGCCCAGGGGCCTCAGCCCAGGAATTCCAGCAGACCCCTGGTTCAGGGTCTCCTCCCCAGAACCTGCTTCTTCCAGAAATGCCAGGAAAGGGCAAAGGGAA